AGTTGGTAGGAAATTTTGAATTTTGCCCGGGTGGCGGCCGAAGCCTACTCTTATCGATTTTAGACCACCAAGGGATCTTTAACGTGCGCAACTTGCACACCGGCCCTTCGAGATTTTTCGCCCTTGTCCGAGAATGCTAGGTGTAGATCTTTCCTACCAGAAGATCAGGGGTGTGGCAGAAAGAGCCAAGGAGTAACAGTAGAAAGGCTGTAGAAAGAGAAAAGAGCCCAGAGGAGGGGGCAAAGGAGGTGAGGGGGTCGGGGCAGAAAGTGGAAATGAAAGCAGACAACAGAACATTGCTAGAGAGCAGGAAAGGAGGTGGAAGGAGACAATTTTAGAGAAGAAAATTTTTTGGTCGCTACCCGGATTCGAACCCGGTACCTTTAAATGAGAGGCCAACACCTTAACCTCTAGGCCACGAGAGCCCTTTTGTCTTTGTATTTTACTGTTTAGTAGAAACACCCCTAGCCATCAGCACTTTATAAGCCCCGATCGGTAAATAGCGTTTGCCATTGTAAACCAAATTGCCCTTCTGGGATAGATAGAATTGTAATTAACTAGTTACAGTATTATTATTTATTATGATGATGTGTTTCTCTTTACTCCTCCAACTTTCGAGTACCTTTAGGCCTACCTCTAGTCCCTTTCTCATTCCTTGTGGATTTCATCTTACGGCATTCCCAATCCCCCCACCCCCTCCCTCTGGGCGGTACGACTGAATGAAGTGTCTTTAGGCCATTCCCAAAAAGGGGGGGGGGGCATTTCTCGTTCTTATGCACAGTAGAATTGTAAATGGGCTGATTCATCCATGACACGCTCATAACTGTGCCTGAACTACAACAGGGAACTGCTGCTTTTTCTTTCCTAATCCTTACTATCATCATTTTCCTCTACTTCTTTTTGTATGTTTGTCACACTTTTGTGACCCGCTATTTCCGGGGTGCCTTGGTAGTCGAAGCAGACTTTGTGCTGTTGAAGTTAGAGAGGTGAGCAGAGTAAGTCTGATTCCCTGTAAGGACTTCTCTGTTGACATCCACCCCTTGGCGCTCAATATGACCTTTTGCAGTTGCAAAACCGTAAATCCTCTACTTAAACTAAATTTACGGCAATCGCTATTACATAATGTGTTTCTATTTCCTCCAACGCAAGGTTTGTGTGGGGCGTTCTGCCAATGCTGTCTGGCCTCTGAGGTGTCCCAGGACATGGGGGAGTCGTCCTGTGTGCCATGCTGTGTGCCCGGGTGGCTTATCTCTCTCAGGCTTAAGATGAGGATTCAGGAGAATATTCCGGTACGTGAGTCTGTTGGGGAGGAAGGGAGTGGAAGAGGTAGTGGGAGGGAGGGAGTGAGAGAGTGGAGGAGGTAGTGGGAGGGAGGGAGGTGGTGGGAGGGAGAGGGAGTGGAGAAGGAGGGATTGGAGGAGGTGGTGGGAGGGAAGGAGGTGGTGGGAGGGAGAGAGAGGGAGGGAGGGAAGAAGGTGGTGGAAGGGAGAGGGAGGGAGGGAGTGGAGGAAGTGGTGGAAGGGAGAGGAAGTGAGGGAGTGAAGGGGGTGGTGGGAGGGAGAGGGAGTGAGGGAGTGGAGGAGGTGGTGGGAGGGAGAGGGAGGGAGGGAGTGGAGGAGGTGGTGGAAGGGAGAAGAAGTGGAGGAAGTGGTGGGAGGGAGAGAGAGAGTGAGGGAGCGGAGGAGGTGGTGGGAGGGAGGGAGATGGTGGTGGGAGGGAGAGGGACGGAGGGAGATGGTGGTGGGAGGGAGAGGGACGGAGGGAGATGGTGGTGGGAGGGAGAGGGACGGAGGGAGATGGTGGT